AGGGCTGAGCCGAGAGATCCTCCCAGGCTCTGTGAGAGCAGGGTGGGGGAGGGCTGGCAAGGAGCCGACCTCGCCCTCAGCCTCCTCCCGACACACTATGGGGATAGTTGGAAAATTCCCATTGGCTTGCACAGGGGAAGCTAACGGATCATCAGAGTGGGAAGGGGCCTTTGAGGTCATCTAGTCCAACCCCCCCAAGAGGGAGACCCTACACCGTGTCTTGACAGAAAGGCCACAGGTGTGACACCACCACCCCCTTCCAACTTTCTCAAAAAGATGCTAGCAGGTGCCGGGCCCGGAGGAGGGGGAACCCCAGCTGTGCCCGGGGGGGGCAGAAAATGGCAGGGGGGCCTCTGGCTGCAGGCCTTGCTCTGGGGAGCAGCCTTGGGGTGGGTGGAGTGCCGCTGCTGCCGCGGTCCCACTCCGCCCTGCCTAATTGTAGCTTTCGTTTTGGGATCCGGCCGGGGCGGAGAGCCCAGCGCCCGCCCTTCCCCTCTGGGGCCTGGCTGAGTCTTCCTTCCCATTTAATCTCAGCGGGAGCTGCCTCTCCGTGTCGGCGCATTCATGGCTTTTTTTTTTTGAATTAATAATACGTCTTACCTGGTTTGGGATAAAATACCCAGTACAGCTGGGTAGAGCGCAAGGAAAAAAAGAGCGTATAGAATAAATGAACCCGGGAAAACATATTATATAGAGCCAGCAGTATATATATATTGAATGTACAATAACAATAACTCACGCTCCTCTTCTCATACATAAACATTAGGAAGGTTTCATTGATCAAATAATACAGTTAACATCCAATAGAGATAGTCGAGTAAGGTGTATGATTTATGAATTAATATGTCACCTATAAGAGATTAGGAATACTTGCCAATTCTTATTATTGTTCATTATGAACTATCAAACCTATTATCAAATGTAATTAAAAAAATAATACATTTATTGTTCTATTGGCACGTTCTTTACTTCTGTATAATTGCGTTTTTTAATTTTTTTTGTAAATGAAGTTTATTTTGAAAACTAGTAACAATGGTCTCATGCTCCTCTTCTCATACATCAACATTACAAAGGTTTCATTGATCAAATAATAGTTATAATCCAATAGAAACAGTAGAGTAACGTGTATGACTTATGAATTAATACGTCACCTATAAGAGATCAGGAATATTTGCCAATTCTTATTGATTCTTGTTGATTATGAACTATCAAACCTATTATCAAATGTAATTTAAAAAATAATACGTTTATTGTTCTATTGACACACACTTTACTTCTGTATAATTGTATGTGTTTTTTTTTTAAAAAAATTGTAAATGAAGTTTATTTTGAAAACTAGTAACAATGGTCTCATGCTCCTCTTCTAATACATCGACATTACGAAGGTTTCATGGATCAAATAATAGTTATAATCCAATAGAGATAGTAAGGTGTAAGAGTAAGGTGTAGAGTAAGGTGTATGACTTATGAATTAATATGTCACCTATAAGAGATCAGGAATACTTGCCAATTCTTATTGATTCTTGTTGATTATGAACTATCAAACCTATGATCAAATGTAATTAAAAAAGAAATATCTTGATTGGTCTATTGACACATTCTTTACTTCTGTATAATTGTATGTTTTTTAAAAAAATTTGTAAATGAAGTTTATTTTGAAGACTAAAAAAGGGGGGGCGGTGGCTGGGCTGTTTCCTGGCTCTGCAGGTGGAGGGGGGGGCAGGAGGGAGGAGCCACACCCTCCCCCCCCCACCAGAAGGCACTTTTTCCTCTGCCCCTTCAGCCTCCACCGGCCAAATGCCCACCTCCCCCATTTCTCAGCTTTTTGGTAAAAGCCCCTCCCCTCTCCCTGTTGGGCCCTCCTGGGTTCACCCACCTCCTGCCAAGGGGGGTGTGCAGCCCCACAGCTTCCCCCCCTTGCAGAGGCAGGCGAGGCCGGTTTTGGCTCCACAAGGAGGCAGAGGGGGATTTTGGGGCGGGGGGGGTGGTGTCCGCCCTTCAAGTCCACAGGCCGCTCCAGCGCTTCTGAGCATACGCAGAGGGCTCTTCCCAGCCCCCCAAAGGCTGGCATGGGGAGCCCTGTGGCATCCCTAGGCAACCCCCCCCTAAGAACCCTGGGCAACAGGGCCTGGGGTGGTGGTGGTGCCCAGAGCCCTCCCCCACCCTCCGCCCGGTGCCCTGGGTGGAGTCCGGCTGGACGGCGAGGAATGCGCGGCCGGCGGCTATTCTGGGCTGCGGGTGTGGTGGCTCTGGCCACAGAAGGCTTGCCATGCCCGGGTGGAGAAGCCGCTCCGGGGGACCCCAGCAGCCACTGGAGTACCGGGGGGGGGGTAGAGGAGGAGAGACTACCTCGGCCCCCCTCCCGCCCTTGCTCTCCAAGGGCCTGCCCTTTGCACATGCTTAAGAGGCCCCGGAGCTCTGGGCTGCCATCTGTCAGAAAGGGTGGGAGGGTCTAGAAAGGGGTTGGACTAGATGACCCTCTCAGGTGCCTTCCAAACTCTTTTGAGGATCTGTTTGTCTGGTCCTGGGCTTCCCAGCTGGGGCGGAGGGGAGGGGAGGGGGAGAGGCAAGGCGGACAAGGCCCTTCTGTGCACCTCTGGGCCGAAAAGGAGCCGCGGCGGGCGGGCGGGTCAGCCCAGGCCAAGGTATGCGGGGAATTTCCTGGAGGGGGGGTGGCGGGCGGAGAAAGAGGCTCCTTTGCGAGAAGAAACCCAACCTGTGTCCTGCCCGGGGGGGGG